CTATGGACACTTTTCTTATTTCTGTGTCACCCTTGTAACAATATAATTGAGATTGTGAAATTGATTTCCTGAAAGCAACAAGAATTTAAGAGTATAATAACACAAACAAAAAGATAACCACTGCTTTTTTTCTGGGTACAAGAATAGTAAATAAATATTGGGGAAAAGGTCTGACTATCAATTACAGAAACAGAATTATTGTAATTAAAATAATCATAAAAAGCAAATACTAAATTCCTTGCTGTACAACAAAGAGGCAGAAAGTTCTTATGGAATTTGATTTGGGTTTAGGTCTTCTCATGCATGGTTACTTTTAAGCATTTACTGTGGTCTCAAATTTTTTTTAGTTTCTCATTCTGTGGTCTTTACCTTGTACATATAAAAAGATTTTCCTGTTCGTGTAATAGTAACGATTATATTGTAGGAGTGACGACAAGTATGAGTTTTGAACATGATCAGTCTTTGAAGTGAACTGTGTTCATTAATTGAATTTCGCAGTTATGGTCTCAAAATATGCAAGACCTTGGAGTTTATGAAGACATTTTTTACAAAGATGATTTTAACATGCCTGATATTGATTTAAGTTTCTGGAACTTTGAAGACCTTTTCGGTGGTGATCAAGATCCAACCAGGGCACTACTTGGTGATAAAGATTTCTGTTGTTCATATATGGAGAAGGATATGTCCTTCAATAGATCAGATAATGGTAATGCTAGAGCAATGAAGGTTAGGATCATGGCACTCTTTTTATCTTATGACTTTCTAATACAGATATTTTGCTAGGAGGCCTTTATAAAGGTATAAGAAGCTTCAAGAGCAATTAGACTTTTTAACCACATTTTTTCATATGAATGACACTGAAGAATTTGAAAATATTTATAGAAAGAAAATACAAATTAACAGAAGAAGTTGCATGGTTCTACCCTGCTATCAGTAGCGGATCTAGGATTTTTTCCGGAGGTATTCAGGATTTATCCACTAAAGAACTACCAACGGATTTATCAATTCTGTCAGCGAAAAGGGAATATAAGAAAAATTTTTGGGGTATCCAAAAGAAAACTTTCCTTGAAATTTTTTTGTTTTCTAATCTTTGGAGGTGTCTATGGACACCCTACTAATACACATGGATATCCTCTGCCTGCTATTACTTTAGGATTTGAAAATGTTAGAATTATCACATTCAAAGATCCAGTAAATTGAAGGGAAATGCAAATACTTACATTTAACAACTATTACTCTATTCATGCTTCTACAAGAGTCTAAAGATAATTTTTTTCAACAAGCTACATTGAGAGATTGTTGTTCAGTCTTACAAGAATAATGATTAAATTCTAAATACATCTGTTTTCTTGGTTTTTTTTTTTTTTCCTTCTTATTTCCAAACTAAACACATAAGTAGAAGAAATAATCAGTTAATAATTTAAGTTGTGTATTATGTGAATGATAATATTTTATTTTTTCAAAATAATTTGTAAAGAAAGGAATTGTTAGACGGACAGACAGGTTAACACTTTTTTCAGCATATTTTTTTTCAAGAAAAAGAACATTGACACTATAAAAATAGAACAGAAATTTGAATAAAAGTAATTATATATTATTTTCCATACTACCTGACTTTCAATGTATACTTTTGTGTACTCTCACTATGTGTCGTCCATGTTAAAGAATTCCTCTTATATTTATAGAAAGAGAAAGACACACACATGCACACAACTTTTATTGCAGAGAAAAACCTCTGCAACTGTGTTTTCAAGTTGAAGAGTACACCTTATCTTCAAGTTATCTCAAAATCAGATAGAAGTTTACGTTCTCTTATACCGACTTATATTTGCTTTGCATGTGGAAAGTTGAAACTAGAGCAGAAAATTTTGAAGTACCTTTAAATCTTTCATTTATGTGTACCTTTCAAGCCAGGATGCTTCTGTGGCCTCATCTGTTTACGTGGTTCTGTATGCTCACACAGAAATTAATATGGATCCTTCTGACCACATTCATAACTTACAGGGGATCATTGGTTCTCCTTGCACAATTCGACCATCTAATTCAACAATGTCCTTCTCTGTTTCAAGGTTTGGTGCTGAAAGCAGTGGTACTGAATGTCTTGATACTAGATTTTCACCTATCGCACAGGGGGAAGCATCATGCATTTCAGCTGACTTAGACAGCTTGCATTCAGAAGCCAGAGAAAATGCCATGATGAGGTACAAAGAAAAGAAGGCGGCCCGACTCTGAGTATCAGGTTTCTCTTTTCTTGCAGATTTTATATTCTTCCACTGCTGTTTCCACAAGTTCAGTGGACTTTTTTTTTCCCCCTAGTACTTAAAAGTTGCTGCACCCACTAGGAACCAAAATGAATAACTTGTGGTTTTTAGCCTCAGCCTTATTTCCATCTTCCTGAGCACTTCAAAAAATTTCAAAATCCTACCCTCTAACAGGTAAATCCAGAAATAGGTTACCACAAGTTTGTACTGCAAAATGACCTCTTGATCACTTTATCTTACAATTTATAATGTTGTAGCTTTATGATATTATAAGAAGCTAAAACACCAGCAGGTCACCTGAAATACGTGCTAATCTTGAGAATTAATATCAAGTTTGAACCTGAAAATTTGTGAAGACGCCATTACAACAGTACTTTCTCTATATCTTCACTGGTGGACAAAGTATTTTGGGGCATTGAAGCCTTGAATTCAGTGGAAGCAAAATATACCAGTGTTCTATTGAAAATTAGTAAGTGATATTCCTAGTTTTTTCAAGCTTCAAGTCTTGTACAAAAAGTGTGTGGGCTTTGCAAACATGCACATGCCCAGTTACCAACTTTTAAATATGGTGATGCACCAGAAAATAAATGCTGATAGACATATTGCCACTGCCCCCCACCCCACAAAAGATAAAAGGGGCAGATAAAGGGGCTAGCTATCTCTTTGATTAGTCTTTCTTATAGCAGATGCATCACCTATGTTCAGGCATGAAAGACAAATTCAATCTGCATCTCGGAAAGCTAGAGCTGATGTACGAAAGAGGGTAAAAGGACGATTTCCTAAGACGTAGGGCTATGATTCTGACAATGCTAATGTGACAAGGAGCTATTAGGTCCTCTGTATTTATATTGTACATAGTACCACTTCTAGATTCAGTTAGTTCCACATGTTAGTCACGCTTCTATTTAAACTCGACCAATTCTTTCAGTGCAATCTATTTATAGCTCTGATCCTAACAGGAAAAAAAAAAAAGGCTTTTGTATTCATGAAAATTGCATACCAGATTTATCTTAAAAGGTTTTCTAAACTTCAACTGTCATACTAAAACGCTGTAGATATAGCATCTTCTCTTGTGGAAGTTGATATTGTCTGTTAATTGTCTTTGAAGTAATACCGTCCTTAACAAACACCCGAATATGTGCATTGGTTGTTAGTTGTAATGATTTAAGACTCGTGCTGATGCGAGTGATACTTTAATGTGTATGTATCTCAAGGAAGTATTTGGTGAAAAACCCTTTGATTAAATTGGATATCTGATCTGTGACAGCCACCCAAATTTATGGTCTTTGAGTTTAATTCTTATAAAATATATAAAAAAAAAAACTTTTCAGTTTTGTTGGTCGTATATATTACAAAAGAATTGGATTTTTTAAAAAAAAATTTTGGACACCAGCTTTTGATGTGAAATAAGAGATCCTGCTAACGTTTTTTAGCTATAGAGCAGCTGTGTCATCCGTCAAGTTAGCAGGTTGATGAGTAAATAAAATATGGAATGGACCACACTCTCATAATTGAAACTTGGGATGGTGATTAGGAAAAATACCATAATCCTCTTCTCATCTCACAAAACTTCACTGGAGGGACGCCGTTTGGCCCTTTGCCTGATAAATGCCCAGCAACAGCTACGTGGGCAAAGAGCGCAAGCATTGGCATGGCCGAACTGAAATGAAAATGAAAGACAAACCTAAATGTTAATTAAAAATTAAGGGTCTACACACAAGAAATGTATGGCTAACTTAACAACCATGACAATAGCATAAATGAGTTTTTGATTGGAAGATTTCGTAGTTTTTTTTTTTTTTTTTAAATTCACGAAAGAGTTTGAAATTAGATCTAATATAGCCTAAGGAAGAACAATTGGACAAAAAGAGGTAGTTATAGTTGTGAGAATGAAGCAAACTCTCTCTCTCTCTCTTAGAAAAGAATGATGGCTTCCCTCTTCCCAAATGACCTTCTTGAAAATTTTGTAAAACTCCTTCCAATCAATTAACTTCAATTACAAGCAAATTATTATATAATGAAATGCGTCTCTAACAGCAACCGGGCCTTAGCATTTCATATATCTTCTTCACAGTAACTAATTTCCTTTCCTTTTCAAATGGAAAACTTTGTTAAAAGAAAAAAAATATATGATTATTAGCTCAACTTAATTGAAATGAAATTTCTTTCATTATTTAATAAAATTTAAATTTATTATATAAATTCCTTTCATTTAAGGTAAAACAATGGGGTCCCTTATGTATATATTTGTTTTTTTATTTATGTCATGAAATTTTAAATTTGGAATGATTTATATTTATTAAATTGGGTCCTATAGCTGAGAAAATTATAATAACCGTTGGATTTAAACGATTATGATCTGACGATGATCACCCCCTCCCTTGCTCTAGGCTGGGACAGGGTCCGGCTCCATGTCAAAAACTCCAGGAAAGAAAAAAAAAAAAAAAACACTTATGGGGTTAACCCTGGCAGATATAATCAAACCAAGAGGATATTTACGCCATTTCATTATGATCTGAATCGTGCGTTGCTGCAATGCAGGGGCTTTTTTCTCTGCTGCTGCATGCAAAATCGCAAATGTGATTGCGGACGGGGTTAACTCACAAACGTGAGCTGGACTCTCTCTCTACGATGAATCTCTATAAAGTACTAAGAGTGTTATTTCCATTAAAGCTCGTACACCATTCAAAATATCTTGATCGAAATCAAACGGTCCACATGATCCACGACGTTTCATCTTCCAGCCCAGAGAATTAGAAAATAATTCAGATTAATCAAATGACTTAAATGTCCTCAACAGAGTGATTATAATCGGTTGTAATCGAGGGGCGAACTGAGTAAAAAGGTGTAAAAGTGGACAAAGGGTAATTCTGTTATGCGTTTGTTTTAACGGTTTTCAGAATTCTTTTTTCTTTCTTTCTCTTCACTTCACTGTGGCCCACTTGTTTCCCTCCAATTCCCTCTTGTATAAACCACTCTTGTTCTTCCTCCATTTCTCAAATTATCTCCTCTCCCTTTTTTTTCTCTCTCCAAACAAAACAAAAAGAAATCCCTCTCGCTGCTCTCAGAAGAAAACCAGAGGTGTTCTCCGAAGGTTCAGGTGAAAGTCAAATTTGCTTGATTGCAATGAATTTTACTCACTTAATCGCTGTTTTCTAGGGCTTTGATTCGAGACTTCTTCATTTTTCACTCATTTTCTGCTTTCTGTAAAAGCCTTTTCAAGCTTCAGAACATTCATTCGCAAATGCAAAACGACAACTGTTCAACTGTCTATGGCGACCTCGCAGCCAAACAACAGAACGATGACCAGAGCGATGGAGTTTACTCTTCCTCCACCACCTCATCCTCCGCTGCCTCTGCCGCCGCCTCTCTCTTCGCTCTGTACCATCCCCGCCTTCTCATGCAACAACATCAAGACATGATCAACCGCCATAACCTCTGCCTCACACGTCTCCGCGAAGCTGCAAAAGAAGCCGAAGCACTCCGCCAAGAGAATACCTCTCTGCGGTCAGTCAACCGCGATCTCAACAAGCAACTCAGCGCACTGATCCAAGCCTCTGTGCAGAACCACTTCGCATCGTCCGATTACAACACGACGCCGTTCGATTTGGTGAATGCGTTACGAGGACTTTGTCTCAGTGGTGGAGGCGTAGGGGAGGAAGAGGTATCTGATGAGAGTCCAACAAGCGTGATGGAAGGTGCGGTGGATGTGGAGAGGGTTATGTTGCCTAAGAGCATATCTGTTAGGTCAAATGGATATCTAAAGATGATGAATCAAGCTGGAGCGAGTCATCGTGGAAAAACTCGGGGACCAACTCGGCCTGGAAATGCGTCTCAGCTCAGTGGAGCGGTGAGTTTATTTTTCTTTTTCTTTTAAATTTTTTTCTTACTTTGTTGTAAATGTAAATTGGTAATTGTAATATATATATATATATGTGTGTGTGTATATATGTATAAATATTTATTTATTTATTTATTCCTAGAGCTATGTTTATTTTCTTTTTAGTATTCCTTTTTTTTTTAATGAAAGTCTTCGTTAGCAGTTAGCACTGTGGCTTGGCAATGAAGCAACGAACTAACTAAACTTAATCATGTTAGACGCCGAGTGCGATTATATCAGAGGACGACATCTGTTTTTTTTTTAGTTTTTCTTATCATTAGGGGCTTTGGGGAGAGCACAGTTGAAAGGACTCGGTGATTGGCCTCTATTTTAGCACCATAAGATGATTATTGCATTGCTTTAGTTTAATTTGACAGTTAAAAGAGAATGAACTGGGCCTCACATTTTTCTGTCTGGTCAGAAATCAAACTCTTTTATTTCCTATCGCTAAATCCATTGGCCCTTTAAATGTGTCAGATTTGTATATTGTTGTTTGTATGGCCAACCGTTTGTTGCCACCGTAAGAATGTGGAATGAAAATATTATTTATACTAATAGTAATAGGTTTACAGTTGATGATCTTCTTCTTAGTACTTAATGAAAGGGCTGAGTAAATCTTTTTAGGTGAACGTGCAGCAGAAGGTGTACGTGCAAGGAGGGAAGAAGGAGGAAGAGCCACTTGAACTGGAAGTGTACAACCAAGGCATGTTCAAGACTGAACTCTGCAACAAATGGCAAGAGACTGGTGCCTGTCCTTATGGAGATCACTGCCAGTTTGCTCACGGTATTGAAGAGCTTCGCCCTGTAATCCGCCACCCTCGCTATAAGACTGAGGTTTGCAGGATGGTCCTTGCTGGTGATGTTTGCCCCTATGGCCATCGATGCCATTTTCGGCATGCACTTACTGAACAGGAGAAGTTCATGGGCCACCTCAAGCCCAGTACCAGGTAAAACTTGAGCCGGTGGTCATCATATTGGTTGGTTTCTGTAGAGACTAATGTTCAAAATTTCTTAAAGATAATATGCTTAATGTAGGAAGGTTATAGGTATGGTGGACGTATATAAAATTGGAATAATGAGAATCATTAAAAATAAAAATAAAAAGTTAGCAAAGATGGAGATTGGTAGAAGGTTTGTGGTCCCGGAAGGTGGGAGATTTGTTGAGGTTATTAGAGATTTTCACTCTTGTTTTTTGCTTTGTTTTTTAATATTTTTGTTTCTTCAAGTATGACATTAAACCATGATAAACTTGCTTGGATGTTTGGTGAGCTCATACCAAGCAAAAGTCCAACACCAAAAAAAAAAAAGAATCAGTAAAACATAAATTTGTAATGATGTTCTTTGCTTCTGGGAAAGTAAGAAACATGTGTTTGTTTGGAGTGAATTTTGATGTGATTAGCCTCATTGAAGTGTTGTTGAAGGAGCATTTGGGTCTATGCCTGATGATGCGGCATAAACATACATATGATGTATGCTTTTTTACGTTCTCTTTTAAGCATTTAATATATCATTTGGAGTAAATGACAGTTGCCACAGCTGTCTAATTTGTTACAATGTAATAAATTAATTAATTAAAGAAATATCCTCTCTGTGTCTGGACAACAAAAAGGCTAGCGTGCTCCAGTGGAGTACTGAAACCAAAGATGATTAATTGAAACCACCTCGCATATTTGTACAGAAAATAATAGTGTGCATAGAATATGTTTTCACTCACAGGATGAACCAATTTATCAATCATTAAGAATTTTCGCCACATTAGCATTGCGTATTGTAATAGTTTAGATCTACATGTTAGTAATAAAAATTTTCCACCTTTAATTAAATATCCATTTATGTACGTGTTGATATGCCAACTTTTCTTTTTTCTTTTTTTATTTTTTAAAAATCAATCGTCTATCCTATTTGGTTATAAAAACTTTGTATATTATGCCACCGTGAGTTCGTGTTGAATAGTACCCTTATCTTCAAGTTATCTTAAAAATTTTCATTTGCTAGTATTACTACGATTGCTTTATCACTTTCTATTATGTGGCACTGCATGCATTTTGGTTGTCAATTGTTATGACAAATGACACTTCTTTATATGTTTCTAAATTTTAACCAAGTGATGAGAGAATTAGGAAAATTTTCATGATAAGCATTTTCATTTGTTATTTAATAAAATCAGTAAGAGTTTAACTTAAAGAATAAATAACATAAAAAAATAATAAACGAATGAAAATCCACCAAAAATTAATTTTTTAAAAAATTGAAAAATAATAAAAGGTTTCAATCATTTTTTTAAAAATATATATTGAATGAATTTAACGACATAATCTCTTTTAAAAAATAAATAATTTTCTTGAATACTTTTATTGTGAAATTCTTTTAGATCTCACCAAACGTGTTGGTAGTTGGCAAGACCTTTGAAAAATCTCTAAAATTTAAATAATGGAATAAAAGAAAAAATGGTGATAATAAAAGAAGTTAAAGGAGTTAAAAGTAAATATAAAATAAAAGATCATTTTTTGACACTATAAAAAATAACATATAATTAGTTGACATCATCCCTTGAATAAGCATCACGATAATGCTTTATCATGCATTAAGGAACCTAAGGATTTTCAATACAGATATATTTAATTTAGTGATCAACCGTTCTTAGAAAAAATAACAGTGATGATTTTTTTAAAAATAATCAAACAGTTAAATTTTTGAATTCACTCACTACTATTGTGTTTTAAAAATATATATTTTATATAATCTACTATTTTAGTATTATTTTTATGATATAAAATAGAAACTGAAAATATATTACAAATTAACAAATGTAATATTAAATAACTTAATTAAAGTAGATAAAATCTAACTCGACTCAAATGATCGATTATACCTAACTTAATTTGACTTTAAAAGTCAAGTTCTTGAACCCATATGATCTTAACCTTAACCAACCTATCCAAATGAACTTCTATATCGAGGAAAACATATCTTTAAAGCTTAAAAAGAGTTTGTTTTTAGATACTGATAATAGAATTTTTTTTAATTCTATAAAAATAGTTAAAAGATTGTCCTATGTATGTCCTATTTGTTTGTTTATTTTTTAAAATTTTTTATTATATCCTAAAGGATATGTGACTTGATAATAAGATTTCAGTGGATTATTCGTTTTAAAATTTTTACTATACCCTAAGCTCACTTGTGAAAATTATAATTGTCCGTCACTTGTTTAATCATTTTTTTTAAACTCCCTTAGTTGCTTACATGTTCAAGGAAATATGAAATATTTCCAAACAATGTAAACGACTACGAGCACCTTAACCACCAAGCAGTGAGGTCCATCCGCGGCTGTTTGAGGATTGGATTATCTAAGAAACCTGAAGTTCGGTTAATAGAGGCTGGAATGGGCTGAATATGAGGTCCAATTATCAGACGAGTCCATAAAAATACTAATGCAATATCTAGATCTGACCTAAACCCCGCCCCAACCTTATCCATTAAAATCTTTAGGCCCAGTCCAACTGTCTCCGCTTTGTTTGTCTTTACTGATTCTTGCAATTCCAATTGTCCTAGAGCGCAATGAACCTAAGAATAATAAAGTGCGCGCAGTTGGAAACAAATTTGGTTGCCAGTGTGACGATGGAAATATTTCCACCTTAGCATGAAGAGCTTTTAGATAGATTTCTCTCTTTTGCCTTTTCGACATAAATAAAACTAGCAAGTGACCATTGCTATGAGGCAGGGTTAGACATAAATAATTAAACAAAATAATTTTATATTTTTCTATATTTAAAATTGCCAACAATTGAATCTGAACACTCAAATTAAAAATCTAACATACTAACAATATACTACATATATAATTATTGACAAAACAAAACAACTGTCTCCTTTATTAAAATTCGTCAAAAGATACAAATCACAAATAAAAAGAAAAAATGTAATTAATGAAATATATATATATATATATATAAAATCATAAGAGTGGAGACAAGTGTTAGTAAATTTAATAATACACTAAGAGTGTGCTTGGTAGAGTGAAAAAGTAGAATGATGGATAGATGAAAATGGAAAAGTGAAAAGAAAATGAATTTTGAGGGTGTTTGATAGAAAAGAAAAATGAGAGGGAAGAAAATAAAAAGGATGACCCTTGTCCACACTTATTCATAAATACAGATTATTTCAAATTGAAAAGAAAAGATGAAAGAAAAAGGGAAGGTGTAAATATAGATTATATATTTACAAGATTGTCTATCATATTTAAAATTTTCCTTTTCATCTCAATTTACAAAAAGTTATAATAATAAATAATATAATTTTTTTCTTTTTATTTTTTAACTCTTATCAAAATAATAGATGAAAAGAAAATTACATTTTGTTCAACTTTACCATCTTTCCAACTAAGTTCAATAATGGAAAGAAAAAATTATATTTTCCATCTTTTCACTTTTCTTCTCTTCCAAGTTTTCATCTTTCCATTTTTCTATCTACCTACAAAGCAAAGCAAAGCCTTATATATATATATATATATATATATATATATATATATATATATATATATCTACTACAAAGCAAAGCAAAGCCTTATATATATATATATATATATATATATATATATAGAGAGAGAGAGAGAGAGAGAGAGAGAATTTGAAAATATAAAGAAAATCAAACACCAAAATACACAAAACCAAAATAAATACAAAAAATTCCATGTGTTCATCGTCAAATCTATATTATAAAAGTTTAAGGCAGAATCAAATTTTATTTTTAAAATATCAAGTCCAAAATATTTTTAAGGTCTAATAAATGTGTAATTATCTATCCCTCCAAATTATTGATAAGTTTTAAATATGGCCATGGTCTAGCAAATGTATTAGTATATTGACTGTCCATCACATCAACATGTTTAATTTTTTTAATATAATCCAATTGACGAATAGGATAATTGATATGATAGGTTAATAATCATCTTATCTCAAATTTTAAATATTGTCATGGTCTAGCAAATGTAGTAGTATATTGACCATCCATCACATCAATATGTTTAATTGTTTTAATATAATCCAATTGATGTATAGGATAATGGATATGATAGGTTAATAATCATCTTATCTCATGTTTAATTTGTATGTAAAAGAAGGAATTGAATTGTAAAAAAAATTAATCATCATCTTAATATAGGATTATTTAATCCTAGATTATACCTTAAAGGTCCCATTTATTTTTTTAAATATACCTTAAAAAATATGTCACTTTTTTAACTTATTTGCATAATTAAAATTTTACACTGACAGTATCAAATACCAATTCTTATTTTTAATCCATGCTATTAATCTTACATATTTTATTATACTTTTAAAATTACATTAATATATTTAAACTATATAAATTTTAAAGAGAAATAATTTTGACCAATATAAAAAATTTATTCTCGGATAATATTTACATACATTAAATATAAAATACGATAACATTATTTAATTTAATTTTATTCATAATATTATCTTATCCTATCTTATCATAATTTTATATACCAAACATATTCTAATAATATAATTATATTGTTCATCCTAAAGAGTCATCAAATTGAAAACAATGAATTAATCCAATACTCGAGCAATAGAGCATGCCAAGGTCCAAAGGCCAAAAAAAAAAAAAAATCTACGTCCGCAAGCTTCAATGATAGCGCTGCCAAGGTTCGAGTTGGGTCAAGACTGCGAATTGGGCAGACAGCTTGATTCATTGACAAGCCTATTCAAAGCCAGCTCAAGATTTCTAATGCTTTTGACTTGCCGTTGATTTTTTAGGTTAATTTTTTGAAATCGATTTTGAGCAAATGGATATCCAAGAAAACTAATTTCCCTTGCAACTTCCTTTAAATTCCATCATTGATTAGATTTTCATTTACTTTGATAAATTAAAAAAAAAAAGCCACAAATGCAAATAAATAAGCAAGATCCGAATGCTGAAAATTATTTACAAATTTAATTTCCATTTTTTATTATGGATGTTGTTTGATAAATTAAATAATTAAGTGTTAAAAAATAAAGTACAGAATTTTTAGTACTAAATTTTATAAGTAGTGAATTTAAATTATAAAAATTGATTGATATTTTTAGTGAAAAATTAAATGCTAAATATAAATATATTGTTTGATAATGGTAAATGTTGAATTATAGAAATAATTTATTTAAAATTTTTACTCTTATTTTTAATTGCATTTTTTTCTTATTTAAAAAAAAAAAACAAAATTCTTAATGATAATTATTTTTTAATACAAATATGAAACAGTAGGAATGAAATATAACTTTTAAATATAAAAATATAACAAATCCAAAAAATGTTTAAAGGCAAAATTAACGATAATATAATAAAAATACTTAAATTTAACGATT